AACTATCCTAGCATTTTAAATGGAGTTCCTACCAATTATATTCAGAGAAACACAGTATGAAGCATGAAAATTACCTATATGGAAAGTGACTTATCACTTCATAGAGATTTTTTAAAAGTAATTTCCTTGAACTTTACTGGGAAGGAGGTTCTATGCAAAAATTTTATTTCCTGGCGTACTCAGTCTTAAGCTGCTGTATGTGTTACGCTTCTTACCAAAGTTCAGGAGGACACTATCTGTTTCCTCAGGATGGTGTCAAAATGGAGTGTTGGCAGTGTTCCTTATGTGAAGTAAAGAGATAACAGCTAGAAAGCTAATTAAAATAGAGTAGACTTGCTTTAAGGAAGTGGGCAAAACCTTTTCCTTCCCAGAAAAATTTCCTACTCCCACCCACTGCAGAGACTTGAAACAATAGAGTCAGCAATAAGAATGGCAACTTTATGTTCCCTTTTATGAAATTTCTAATTTTGTTTCCTTAAGTCTCTACCTCACTCTGTGTTGTCTTGGGTAGTCAAGAATTGACAAATGCTTATTTTCCTAGTAGTGGTACATTTAAAAACAATCTCCCCTCCTCTAATGTTCCTTTTCAGAAGCTTTATTCCAGCCAAGAGTGACTTTATGTTGGGAGGATCTTAAGACAATAACAGCGAGATAGCCCTAGAGGAAATAATTGCCTTTTGTTTCATGAATTTCTCTGACTTAGTGATATCCTGATTCCTGATTTGTAACAAGTCAGAAACACTGAAATCTCCACTTAGGAACATGAATAATATTTTCCCTAATTCACTGGATTTGATTATTACACACAGAAGTTATTCTTCCCAGTATTTCTTTCTTTCTTTTTGAGACAGGTTATCACTCTGTTGCCCAGACTGGAGTGCAGTGGCAAGATTACAGTTCATTGCAGCTTCAATCTCCTAGGCTCAAGTGATCTTCCCACCTCAGCCTCCTGAGTAGCTGGGAGTGCAGCTACGCGCCACCACACCTGGTTAATTTCTGTTTTTTTTTTCATTACAGACAAGGTCTCGCCATGTTGCCCAGGCTGTTCTCAAACTCCTGAGCTCAAGTGATCTTCCTGTCTCAGCCTCCTGAAATGCTGAGATTACAGGTGTGAGCCACTGTGCCCAGTCCCAGTATTTCCCACTATAATCAAATGGTGCCACCACCATTGGCTTATATTTCTACATTAAAAGGAAAGTGAAAAGAGAAAGGACAAAGAATCAGTCATAAACTTGGGCATGATTACTGGGTCATCAAAAATGTTACAGCATATAAAGACAAAAGAGTAAGTTGTTGAAAAAGTAAAGTTCAGTGAAAAATAAAAGGAAATAATGGGAAAAAACTATGACTTTATTAGAAACTGATATATAATTAGAATGTAGATTTTTGGTGAGGGATTAGTGGTAAGAAAATAATTGTAAGTAAACTTGTGTTATTTATTTATACCCATTCTTAATTTTAAAAAGATATGTGGTGGTAAATATTTATGTAAATGTCTTCCTAATTGAAAAACACAATGAAAGAAAAATAGTGGCATTTCTTTTTAACAGTGTTATGTTTAACAATGGAATTGCTTCCTATCTGTCTGGAAAAGTGAAGGTATACTAATACCTCACACTTGTATAACCTTTGTAATTACAGAGCATTTTCTCATTCTTTTGATTTTCATAATAGCTTCATTAGGTCAATAGATCTTACTCTATTATGAAGGTGGGGAAACAGCCCGTGCTGCTAAGGACTTGCCTAAAGTGGAGTCATTAATAATTATCAGCACCAGAACTAGAGTTCAAGTCTCCTCTTATTTAGGATTTTTCTTCCACTGTTTGGACTCTCAGGTAACTTTTCCAAGATCTTTTCCAGTTTCTCTAGTTTTAGCTAATATATAAACATGTCATAATATTTTTATAGCCAAACAGTGCTGTCTGAGATTTTAAATCTTGAAATTTGAGAATGCCTGAAGGCTAGTGTGCTGGATATTCTCTATTCATTCTCCATCCTCCTCCGCCCTGCTCTGGGTCCTGGGAGACTGGCCAGAGTGAACTGCATCAGGGGGCTTCTGGTTAGGTTCAGCAGGAGATTGGAGGCTGGGAGGAGAGCAAGATCTGGTATTTATTCCTCAGCTCCTTCCCTGCTGGGCCATGGACTGGCAGTGGCTGTACTCCTTAACTGAAGGTGTAGCCAACCCTATGAGCCCCCTCCCCATGTCCTCAGCCCTCACCATTCCTTATGCATGGTGGTGGCTTCTTCTTTTGAAAATACCTGCCACTCTCTACCTCATGGCTTTTTCTGGCCCTAGAAACATGCTCAGCCCATGTGCAGGACCTGCCAGAGGTTCTGGATAGATGCTTTCTCCAGGGAACACCCCTTAATGAATGATGTGTAGGAATTGGTGGATAAATATCTCTGTTTCTGTTCCCCTGAGTTGGAACAGCTATGAGCTGTATTCTACACCCATTTCCCAGTGGGTCCCTATCAAAACAGAGCCCCAGATGCACTCAGTGGTGATCTCCTAATCTATGCATTCTGTATTGGCTTCTTTCCCTGCCCTGTCTCATTTACCCACTTACTTCCAGTGCCTCCTGGAATTGCCATCAAAATTTGCTAGTAGTGCGCAAATCCTTGCTTCAAGTTCAACTTCTAGGGGAACACAATCCAATAGAGAAGCCATAGCTTGTATAAGACAGCTGCCTCCTATAACCATAGCTTGCTCTACACATTCTGAGAACTTCTTCCTCCTCTTATCTCTTCAGGCTAGGCGTAGTCACAGAAACACATTGTTGCTAGCACCAGATGATTCACCATCCCTTATACATACAGCTGCAAGATAGACTGGGCAGTGTAGTCTTTATGCTGAGTGTGGCTAACACTGGATATTCTTTTTTTTTTTTTTTGAGACGGGGTCTCACTCTGTCACCCAGGCTAGAGTGCAGTGGCGCGATCTCGACTCACTGAAAGCTCTGCCTCCTGGGTTCAAGCCATTCTCCTGCCTCAGCCTCCCGAGTAGCTGGGACTACAGGTGCCCACCACCACGCCTGGCTAATTTTTTGTATTTTTAGTAGAGATGGGGTTTCACCGTGTTAGCCAGGATGGTCTCGATCTCCTGACCTTGTGATCCACCCGCCTTGGCCTCCCAAAGTGCTGGGATTACAGGCGTGAGCCACCGCACCCAGCCAACATTGGATATTCTTTTAGTTAGGAAGAAGGTAAGAATTAGAGGAGTGGACATCTTGTTTTTTTTTTTTTTTTTGAGACAGAGTCTTGCTCTGTGACCCAGGCTGGAGTACAAAAAACATCTCGGCTCACTGCAACCTCCACCTCCTGGGTTTATGCTGTTCTCGCGTCTCAGCCTCCTGAGTAGCTAGGATTAGAGGCACCTGCCACCACGCCTGGCTAATTTTTGTATTTTTAGTAGAGATGGGGTTTCGCCATGTTGGTCAGGTTGGCCTTGAACTCCTGACCTCACGTGATCCACCTGCCTTGGCCTCCCAAAGTGCTGGGATTACAAACGTGAGCCACCGCATTCAGCCAGAGTGGACATCTTTTAGTAACTGCAACAGAGGCATGTTTCAAATACTATAAATTTTTGAGACACATGAGATAATTAAATGATTGACAACAATACTAATTAGGCCAGCAATGATTACAGTGCTATTGCCACCATAATGTCAGTACAAGGTTGGGGTTATTGGTTGCTGTCAGGATGGTGGCTGTTAGAAAAGAGCTTGTTCTGCCCTGGATGTATTCTTCATGGAGGCGAAGTTCTTGCAATTTTTCTGTAGTGCCAACCTGATGACACACTAACCATGTACTTCTTAGTTACAACAAAGTTTTTAAACACCCAGCCGCGTAACTTACTTTGTTTCTCATCTCAGGCATTGCTGTGACAATATTTACACTCAGTTGTAGCAAAAATAAAAATTTTCTTTTTACATATCAATGAAAATTTGTAGGGGCTGCTGGGAGGGATTTGCTCTCCCAAATGCAGTGGTTGTGAATCCCCATGTTAGGTATTTTAGGAAATATAAAATAAGTAATAAACAGACTCTTCCCTCTGGGACTCCAGGTTTGGTAGTAATGGAGGATGGGGCGAGGAGCGAAGAGAAATTCTGTGTGGGAGGAAATGATAACACAAGCGTGAGTGGCAGAAATCTTTGTTAAGATGTTAATCATTGTGGGTTCCCAGTCCTACCTTGGCTCATTGTCAACATTATGCAAGCTTCCCTAAAGAAATAAGGTAATAGGGAAGAATAAAGGGGTACCTTTGAAGACCAAGAAAGAGTGGAAGTTTTGGGTCACTGGGAAGGGATGAAGGTTGGTGGGCCTATGGGTAATAGGGACTCTTGCCTGTTCCGTGGTCATGTCCTGCTGGGTAATACGTCAGAAAGGACAGCTGCATGGTGTCTCAGAGATGCTCCACTCCAAGCACCAGGGCGTCCAGCTGAGGCAAAGTCCCCTCACCACACTCCCCCTTTCCTACTTAGCATTGGAACAGAAAGGTTGGGCAGGGAGAATATCACACGGGATCAAGGTAGGTGTGAGATTAGAAACCCTTCTCCCAGTTTCTATAGATGCACTTTCCCCAGATTCTGGTGTAAGCCAAGGAGGTAAGAGGACTCCAGTAATGACAGTTTGAATTTCCTGCCAGCTCAGAGAGCCAGAGACTTGAGATGAATTTAAGTTGATATAAAAAAAATAAAGAGCAGAATTTTTTGGACACCTACATGTGGTGGAGTAAGATGGAATTTGCTCCATGCATAAAAAAACAGAGACAAAAAGGGCAGAATATGGCAAGGGCTCTAGGGGAGGCTAAGCAATGGAATGTAGCTATAATAAATCATGACATGTTATTTGCAATTTGGGAACATTGCAGTCTCTTCTCCACAGAGCTTCTTCCAACTGGGCAGAGGAAAGAACAGTTAAATGGAGAAGGGAAGGAATGATTTTCTCTCGGCTTCTTTTCTTGCTTGCTCCAATTTCATAACATAAAGTACAATAACAAGTAACTGTACATGTAGTAAGTGTTTATTAGTCAAGTATTAAGAAAATAGTCTGTTAATTCCTTCTTTTATGGTAGTCATATGTCACACTGATTTTTATGTCACAAAATCCATATTGCCCATCCTCTGGATTATAGAGACAGACACAACATTGTTTGGTGTCAGTGTCAAGGCATCATGGCACACACGGTGAAGATCCCTTCGCCCTTCTATTTCTCCATCTCATAGACTCCTTTGTTATTCTGCAGGCTTCAGAGCAGAGACCTCTGTGCAATTTGTGTTTTTCCTGGAAGAAATTACAGTTGGGTGGGTAGGGTTTACAGGCATTTTCTACATAGAATCTGTATTTCCTGGATTCCAAAGCACTTGATGAAAATAGATTTTTTTTTTTTTTTTGAGACGGAGTCTTACTCTGTCTTGACCAGGCTGGAGTGCAGTGGCACGATCTTGGCTCACTGCAGCCTCCACCTCCAGGATTCAAGCAATTCTCCTGTCTCAGCCTCCTAAGTAGCTGGGACTACAGGTGTGTGCCACCGCACCTGGCTAATTTTGTATTTTTAGTAGAGACGGGGTTTCACCATGTTGGCCAGGCTGGTCTTGAACTCCTGACCTCAGGTGATTCACCCCCACTGGGCCTCCCAAAGTGTTGGGATTACAGGTGTGAGCCACCATGCCTGGCAAAAATAGATTTTTAATGTTTGGAATTCAACATGTGTCTTTCAGTCAAAGTCAAAAGAAATCTATTTGTTTCCAGAGAATCTCAAGTTATGCTGTGTTTGTCATTGTGTACAAGTATGCTTAGTATTTCATGGAAGATATCATTTAATCTGATCGCCAATGCAGATAAGTTATTTGTAACAGTACTTGATGCAGGTAAATTTTAATTCTAGACCTCCAATTGGCTTTTAAAACCTTTTAAATATTTAATACAATTCAGCAAAAACTAAACTTTATTTATTGATTTAATTTTTTTCTTTGTTTGTTTGAGATGGAGTCTCGTCCTGTTGCCCGTGCTGGAGTGCAATGGTGCAGTCTCGGCTCACTGCAACCTCCACCTTCTGGGTTCAAGTGATTCTCTTGCCACAGCCTCTAGAGTAGCTGGGATTACAGGTGCACACCACCACGCTTGGCTAATTTTTTATATCTGTAGTAGAGACAGGGTTTCACCATGTTGTCCAGGCTGGTCTCTAACTCTTGACCTCAGGTGATCCACCCTCCTTGGCCTCCCAAAGGGTTGGGATTACAGGCATGAGCCACTGCGCCCAGCTGACTTTATTTTTTAATGTGGAAGATTGCCTGATCTAGCTGAACAATGAATTTTAAAACAATAAGGGTTGTTACGTACTTTGGGCTATGTTAGAAAATTTTCAAAGTTGTCGTTTGTTTGTTTGTTTGAGATGGAGTCTCACTCTGTCACCCAGACGGGAGTGCAGTGGCACGATCTCAGCTCACTGCAATGTCTGCCTTCCTGATTCAAGGAATTCTCCTGCCTCAGCCTCCAGAGTAGCTGGGATTACAGGCTCATGCCACCATGCCAGGCCAATTTTTGTATTTTTAGTAGAGACGGGGTTTCCTCATGTTGCCCAGGCTGCTCTCAAAACTCCTGGCCTCAAGTGATCCACCTGCCTCAGCCTCCCAAAGTGCTGGGATTACAGGTGTGAGAGCCTGTAATCTGGCTAGAAAATTTTCAAAGTTTTGAGCAATGTGTTTGACCAATTCGTGTGCTGAAGAAGAGTTTTGCTTGGGAATGGTACAACTATTAAAAGTTTCTAGCTAACCTTTTCCCCTAAAATGTTTATTGAAATGTTTAATATTTAACAGAAGTAATATGAAAATATATAAAGAAAAAGTTAATAACCCCCTTTCCCACCCCTCCAGCCATTTTCTCTTCTGTTCCTCCCTCAGAGGAGGATTCTTGTCCATCTTTTTTCATGCTCTTGCATGATGTGCATATATGGGATTTTTGTTAAAATGTAGCAATGACGGTTGCGCACACACACCCCCTCAGATCTCTTCACTATTTCTGTGCACTCCGACTCCTTGTGTAGTTATCTTCCCAACAGCCCAGCCCTGCATCACTTTATGAGCAAATGACCTTCAGGTTACTGGAATGTGCTTCATTTGTGCATACCGGAGGCCATAAGTGCTTATGAATTTATGCTTCTACCCCCCAACCGTTAACTAATGACTGATAGGTGCAAAAGTATAAACTTCAGCTCTTGCCCCACTCATCAGTATAATTTGGTCAATCACTCCAGGTAGTTTCCCAGCTTTGGTTTGCTTTTTGACACTAAAAACAATGCTATCATATAAAACTTTCTACATATATTCTATATATTTACCAAAAGTATTTTTGTGTGTGTGTGAAAGAGAGCCTCCACTTGAGTCTACTAAAGTTGAACTAAGCCACTTTCTACAATATTGAGATAAAGTGTTGGAGCTGGAAGTATGAAGAGGGATTTATGGGGGGCTAGGCAAATGAATCTTTGTCCTTTCAACAAGTATTTACTGTCCTCCTACTATGTGCAGGCTCTGTGTACAGTCTACTATTCAGTGCAGGACAAAACAGAAATTGTTCCTGCCCTCACAGAGCTCGTCTAGTGGGGGAGGAAGATATTAAGCAATGATGTCATGTGTAAATCTTTGCAAATTGAATAAGTGCTATGAAGAATGAATAGAAGGTGCTCTGTGAGAATTAATTGGGGGCCTAATTTAGAAATAGAAAAACCTCTCTGGAGAATTGACAGTAGAAAAAAAATTAAAGCTTTTTTTTTTTTGAGACAAAATCTTGCTCTGTCTCCCAAGCTGGAATACAGTGGTGAGATCTCAGTTCACTGCAAACTCTGCCTCCTGGGTTTGAGCAATTATTCTGCCTCAGCCTCCTGAGTAGATGGGATTACAGGCGGCTGCCACCACTCCTGGCTAATTTTTTTGTATTTTTAGTAGAGACAGGGTTTCACCATGTTGTCCAAGCTGGTCTTGAACGCCTGACCTCAGGTAATCCACCTGCTTCGGCCTCCCAAAGTGCTGGGATTACAGGCTTGAGCTGCTGCACCCGACCTAAAAATTAAAACTTTTACCCAATGTTTAAGTTATTTACACAGCCCTAAAATTCATTCTAAAGAATTTTATTTTGTATTTATTTGAATTGAATAGATTTGGAATTGAGCTTTGCTCCAACTCACAATGGCTGCGGAACAGCCACCTTTGCTGCAGAATTCCTCTCAAACCCTTATGATAGAGCAACAGGAAATCTGTAAGTATGACAGGTGGCCAAATTAGCTGGAAAAATGTTTGACTTGTAAATGTATCATGCTGGGGTATCTGGAGCATCTGAATCCCACCACCGCCACCACTCTGTAAGAGGAAAACCTGGTGGAACAAATTAATTGAGGGCTGGGACTTCTCGGGTAGGGAGAAAGGAAGGGAGGGAAGATGAAGGAGACCAGGAGAGGATCTCAATGTCCGAAAAAGTCCCTGGTACATGGTAGGTGTCCAGTAAATATTTATTGAATAAATGATTGCACGAATGATGCTCAGCAGGGGTATATTGCACATGGACTGCCCAGCAGCCTCATAGGGAGAAAACGCTGTTTTGCATTAGCCCCTGGAATCTCTATGTGTGCTTGGTAGTCTGATGATTAGATTGGTAATGTCTTGTGCCTGCCTTGATTTCTAGATGGTAAGGGCTCAAATAAGAATATGAACCAGCTTTTCCCAAGATGGGGTAATTGTCAGATATTAATGAAACATGGCAGTAGGCATATCTAGGGCCAAAACAGAAGTGAGGAAGGCCCCTTGCTTGGCCAGATCAGGAGTCACTGTCCAGAGGTTTAGATCCCATCATTTTCCTGCACCAAAGCTGGATGTAGTGGGCAGTCAGCAGGGAGCCAAGGACTTGTGTGTGGTCAGGGTCAAGAAAGGCAAAATTGGTCAGAGAAATGCATACCCTGTTGGTGAGATGGAGAAGACCTATTCCTTCTCACCTCAAACCAAGACTCACTGTAAATATGCTATACATAATCATGATGATCTCCTGACTATTTTGAGTAGCTTGCCAGAAGGGTAAGATGAGAAAAGAGATCTAATTTACATTTTTTAAAATGGCAATTAGAGGGAGATCACAATAGCCAAAAAAGATTAGCTATTTATTAAGCACATATGCACACTCTGGTTAGGTGCTGTGGGATATTGGAGGATTTAGATGGGGAGGAGAGAAAAAGAATTTGCACTCAGACTCCAGAATTTGAAATCACACGTTGGATTGTATACACAGGTACACTTCAGAGATATTGCAAGTTCAGTTCCAGGCCACCATAATAAAGCAAGTTACACAAATTTTTTGGTTTCCCAGCGCATATAAAAGTTATGTTTACATTATATTATATATTATATTATAGTCTATATTTGCAAAAGTACAATGTATATACCTCGATTAAAAATACTTTATTGTTGGCTGGGTGCGGTGGCTCACGGCTGTAATCCCAGCACTTTGGGAGGCTGAGGTGGGTGAATCACGAGGTCAGGAGATCGAGACCATCCTGGCTAATATGGTGAAACCCCGTCTCTACTAAAAACACAAAAAATTAGCCAGGCGTGGTGGCAGATGCCTGTAGTCCCAGCTACTTGGGAGGCTGAGGCAGGAGAATGGCGTGAACCCGGGAGGTGGAGCTTGCAGTGAGCCAAGATCGCGCCACTGCAGTCCAGCCTGGGTGACAGAGCGAGACTCCGTCTCAAAAAAAAAAAAAAAAAAAAAGAAAACAGTGAAGTTTGCCTCATCAATTGACTCTTCCTTTTATGACAGATTTATCTGTAGCATGTGATGCTGTTTGATAGCATTTTATCCACAGTAGGACTTTCAAAATTGGTGTCAGTCGTCTCAAGCCCTGCAGCTGCTTTATCAAGTAAGTTCATGTAACATTTTTTTTTTAAAATTATACTTAAAGTTCTAGGGTACATGTGCACAACGTGCAGGTTTGTTACATATGTATACTTGTGCCATGTTGGTGTGCTGCACCCATCAACTCGTCAGCACCCAGAAACTCGTCATTTACATCAGGTATAACTCCCAATGCCATCCCTCTCCTCTCCCCCCTCCCCATAATAGGCCCTGGTGTGTGATGTTCCCCTTCCAGAGTCCAAGTGATGTCATTGTTCAATTCCCACCTATGAGTGAGAACATGTGGTGTTTGGTTTTCTGTTCTTGTGATAGTTTGCTGAGAATGATGGTTTTCAGCTGCATCGATGTCCCTACAAAGGACACAAACACATCCTTTATTATGGCTG